TAGTATAAAACTGATTATTAACATTTAAAAGAGTATATGCTTGTGTAATTTCATATTAATCGCAGCAAAAATATAAGTAATATTCCTATTGTCGATGTGATTATGTCGTGTTATTAGAATTAGTCGTCAATTAAAATTCGAGTTGAAAGAATTAGCATGTCAAGATGAAGTTCTTTTAGGATCTAACAAATTGACGTCTTCATGTGGAAAAAATAAGACAATAACTTAGCGGAAGAGAGAATCCATGAAAGATGTTAGCAACACGTGGTTTGACCAAAGTCCAATTTGAATGGGAACACATTACCTACGGTTAGTGCAGGAATTCCTGTATTTTATTTCGATAGCACAAGATTATATAGGAAATACATTCAACAATGTAAAGATTTGATGAGGGTTTGGATATGCCAGACTTATGTTGAACTTGTTAAGACATTGATTTACTGCGATTGACGAAAATAATAATTGTTTTGGATATGCCAGACTTATGTTGAACTTGTTAAGACATTGATTTACTGCGATTGACGAAAATAATAATTGTGAAAGTGATCATAAGATTACAAAATATTTCACAAAATACATGATAACAAGGAGTATGACACATGAAATGTAGCAAAGACCAATTTTAACATTTTATTCTCAGTTTTCTCGACTTGTTAAGCATTTTCATCATATTTTCAATTATTGAAACCTCCTAAATTTGTATTTTTTTTTGTTATGGTATGAAGAAGTACTCCACTTTATGGTGGTTTGATATTTATGCATTGAACTCTCTCTCTCTCTCTCAAATTTAATCATTTTTTCCATTTATTTGGATTGTAGCATCTCATCTCCTTTGTGGTATAATTTTTTTTAATTTTGAAATTACTTTTTGCATCCCTGCAAATAAAAAATATACAACTTTTTGCAATTATCAAAGATAAAAGAAAACGGCAATAAGAGAAAAGGGGGAAAATTTTGAAACGGTGAAACGTGCAGTTTAAAAGAACAAAATAAAATAAAATAATAAAATGAATAAGTGCATTAGGCAGTCCAACGATCACGAGTTATAGTCCTCATTTGGTATAGATTAAAATCTACTAAAACTTTTAAGTCAAATTCAATAATTTTATCCACACATTTCATCAATTTTTATCAAAATCTATTAAAATTTTAATTTTATTATCCACTAAACAGGAACATAAATTTAGTAATAAATTAACATCATTGAATAACATAGTTAGATTTGTAATTAGAAAGATAATATAAGTAACTATTTTTTCTCAATTAATATTTTTGAACTGTCCATATTACCAAATAAGCCATCGAAATGCTAGACTTCATGATGTACTCTACTTCTTTTTATATTTATATGTTCCCTTATCTTGGGTTGAATTTTATCTACAAAGTGCAATGATAATTGACACATTATTTTTAATCCACAGCTCTAACGTGACGAAATTGGATGAAGTAGCTTAATTGAGAATAGGGGTGGAGATGATAATTATGGTCCTCATCTTGTTTCTTATTTTGTATTATATTTTTTAATTCTATATTTTTATATCGAAAATGTATTTAAGAAAATATATCAAAAAGTAAATGAAGAAACAATACAAAAAGTGAAAATATTTAAGGGTTAAGCCACTCGACCTGCGCCGGTGACCACGAGGATGACCGCACCCTCACATGGGTTGCATGGTCTCAGGTGAATAAAAAAAGGTCGACCCCCCACGTGTGTGCTGTGTCAACCTCAAGGTCATCTCCGTGGGCATGGTAGTATCACTCATATTTTAATCCCCGTATTGACCCCTAGAAATCCTCGAGTAGGATGGAAGATGGGGAGGGCCACCCTTCTGGTCTCCCCATCTCTTGTACTATTCCGTCCTTTCTTGTTATCCTTCCGAATTATCACTTGGAATTTATTTTTATTTTTATTTTTCTTTTTATTTTTATTTTTATTTTTTTATTTTTATTATTTTTTTGCAAAAATGGAAATTTGAAGGTTTGAACGAAGCTACCAAATTTCATATTATAATCTGGTGTGGACCCCATTAACCAGTAATTCACTCCATGCAATTCGAGCGCCTTAACTAACTACTGAAACAAACACTGGAGTATATAATTTATTATTCTGCACTATGCAGCAAATAAAAAATTAATTTCGTTAATAAATAATTTATAATACAGCTCACAATTACATATACAATATGAAGTCATGTAAAGCTGGCTCGAAAGAAATATTGTGACATTTATTCTTAAGGTTAGCTTAACATGAGTTGACGTGCCGAAATATAAAAATTGCAGTAAAAATGGCAAAACAGAATAACAAATCTCAACAAAACGAAGAAGGCAGAAATATAAATTATAAAAAATAAAGAAAAAAGCATAATAGACTACAGCTATGCAATAAGAAATAAAATTTATTATAATAAAAATATTCTCCTATAGGAGATTCCCTAATTACAAGTGAGGTTCCTGTAATTTTGGGATGCAGAAGGTACTCAATCATTTGATAGTAAAAAAAGGTTACTCACACAATTGCTGTGAATGCCAAACAATCAGGATGAGGTTAGTTACCAGTAATGTGCACTGATTCAACCTAATCTCAAGGTTTGAAAAGGCGCTTGTGACAAGATGACAATATCTTGAGAATGATAAACCCTAATTCCATTCTACTGAGTGCAATCTATCAAAAAAATAAAAAATAATAATTGACGCAGATGGTAAAAACTCCATGCATTTGATCCTTTGAACCAGTTTCAAGCCATGAACTGAACTGAATCGAGTTCAAATGACACGCATATGGACCTGAATCTATTTTTTATTAGGTACATTCACTGGAATCGAAATAACTGCCCAATTGAGATGTGATATGATAGCATCACGATGTTTCCATGGAATAATATGTTATTGTTGAAACACGGAAGAATTGAAATCTTAGATCAATAGATGTAAGCCTCAATGTGAGACTACGTCACTCTCCCGCCACTTTAGTAATTCACTATGATAGAAAAAAGGTTTATAAGAAAAAATCGCCCTCCTATCTTCATATCTAAGGCTTTTACTTCACACCTAGGTCCATCTAGGTCCCGTCAAAACACTGCTTAATATTCCAATGAACATACAATCAGATTAATTAGTGAACACATCTGTGGAAATGGATAATTAAAAGTGAATCATTCTTTAAATATAAGACCAACTTCTTTCTCAAGAAATGCATTCAAGAGAAGTCATTATTCTCTCATCAACAATGCCATCAAGGAGCTTAAATGATTCTCCATCCAAATATGGTGTCAATTAGAATTTGGAAAATGTAATTCTATTGATTTAATTATTTACAGAAGTTGAGAAATGCAATTCATGCTTCTCAACTGATGCTTATTGACTCCTCTATGCATACATATGAGTTGGTAGGTTTGCAAATAAATTAGAAATGAAAATTAATCCGCTTAAAGAATATATGACTCGTCAAGGCTACACTGACGGCAAGTTATCTGTAAAGAAATTACATAATGTGCTTTCAAATTCATAATATTGCAAACTAATCGGGAAACACAAACAACATAAACTAGAAAGACGAATTCATAATACTGTAACAACTCTATTGTTTGAGGTATGAGCATCTACAAATTATAATTTAAAATTAAATCATGAAAAGGCGGTTAGCTCGAGGAAATAAGAAATAGTTTTGCTTTGTAAATAGAAATAAGAGTGCTCAAATCAGTAGTAATGAGAAGAAATTAAAACCATTGAAAAGGGTAACAATTTCCTCGCTACAAACTATTTAACTGGGAAAACAAACATTTGCCTGCATAGGCGGGGTTAGCAATTGAAAGGTTAAACTAAATGACAAGGCAAGAAACCTATTATATGGATGATATCTTAGTTTTTGATTCGTGGAAACATAGTTTGTTCAAAACAGATGCTAGAATATAACAGATTAAGTGTTTGTAATGTTTGCTTAACGTAAGTAACCAGCTCATTATCATCCACAAACATTTAACATATTACTGGGATATTTGCAACCATGCTATACACAGGGCCAGCCCTAAAATTTTGAGGCCCAAGGCAACGAAATATTATGAGGCCCCTAAATAAATTTTTTTACTAGCTTAGTAATCTCTTTAATGTCAAAGGAAAAGTATGCCACACAACTACTTTTTAATAAATATTTGTGATTTCAACATTTTTTAACCATACATATTGTTTTTATACAGTAAAAAGGAATGTGAAAAAGCAAACAAATAATCATCTATTCATTACCTAGCTAAAATAATTTCAACAAACACGCCCTTATTATTGTAAGTGTTATGCGCTAGATCCAAT